AAAAAAAAAAAAAAAGCATAACACCAAAGGAATATTCTAAGCGTGCAAACCTGTTTTTTATGCAGCAGGAAGTACTCCGAGTGGTAGATGTGGTTGTTCTCAGGGTCCTCTACCCAGATCCAGAAAGGCTCTGCAGAGCTGCCATGCACCTAAAGGAGAAAAGAACAGAGGGAATGATTATCTCAATGAACCATGTAGAGAAACATGTTGTCGCTCCCACAAGGAAAAGGAACGACTTTGTTTGACTCTATTCAACAAGGAAAGTAAAATACGTTGAAGTTTCTCATTTTTCTTTTGACAGAGTACAAGTATACTAAAAGCAGTGTAAAAAAGTACCTATTACAGATGACGGTTGAGATGGTTAGGCCACAATTTCCACATGAGAAATTCTTTCCATCCCCAAAGAGCTCTAACTTGGGCCCCTCAAGGCCAAAGAGAGGGAAGACTACCAATAGAAGCCTAAAACAATAGGGAGGTTATGCTCGGGAACAAAGAAAGGGAGAGCTTGACCCTGACCTTGTCGTCCCAGGAGAAATCCGGAGTGACCTCCAGCCTGACCCTGAGCACGGTGCGTGTGATTGGCTGGACAGACGCCTCGATGGCCAGCTGGGGCAGTTGGTGGACGCACTTCTTGATGAGGGAGCCCATCTTCACGTGGTTCACCATCAGGCCTGAGGAAACACACAGGAGGGGCGGAGAGTTGAGTTGAGTTTTTGTAAGTGTTTTACGGCACTTGCACCACAATAAGGTCATATAGGTGCCAAAGATTAGCTCCATCTTTCCTATCAAACATTTATTGCCCTGATCTCTCCAACTTCTTTTTGTGTTTGTTACTCTCTTGTAACACCTCTAATTTCTGACACTTATATGACCTTATTGTGTTGCAAGTGCCATAAAGCTCATACACCCCCCGGAGCGGTGCTACTAACTGAATTGTCTTTTGGCCTTTCCCAAAGGGGGGGACATTAACATGTTCTTATGCACAGTAGAATTGTAAATGGGCTGATTCATTAATGTCATGTTCATTATAGTGCCTGAACTGCAACAGGGAACTGCAGCTTTTTCTTTCCTAATCCATTGATCATTTTTCCTCTACTTCTTTTGTATGTTTGTCACACTCATGTGAACTGCTATTTCCGGGGTGCCTTGATAGTCGAAGCAGACTTTGTGCTGTTGAAGCTAGAGAGGTGAGCAGAGTAAGACCGATTCCCTGTAAAGACTTCTCTGTTGACATCCACCCCTTGGCGCTCATATGACCTTATGCAGTTGCGAGCGCCGTAAAACCCTCTACTATAAAAAACAAAACAAAAACTGTTTTGTTGCGAGCGCTGTAAAACCTTACTAAAACTAAAACAACTGAAAACTCATACTAAAATTAAAACAGTATTCAAGCAAATTGTTAATAGGAAATGAATACGCCATACCAATCTCCTTGGAATCCATGTCTCTCAGTTTCTCCGGCAGCAAGCGGCGAGCCTCCAGTTTGTTGAGAATCTCGTGGCTGAGCACGCTGAACTGACGCATGGGGTTCTCGAACGTCCAGAGCCGCTTGTCCACCATCTTGCACATCTCCAGTAGCTTGACCGCCAGGAGAGGGTGGCTGTTACGCAGCGCGATCTCAAACAGAGCCCGCATGATACGTGCCGCATTCTGACCACGAGAGAAAAAGGAATGTTCTATTAACCCACATTCGTGAGGCATCATGGTCGAATCAGGCACTCGTCAAAATATAGAAATCGAAGAAAAAGGCATTTTTCCTAGTTTGGCAATTTTTAACAAAATTTTGTTTATTGGCTCAACACATTTTCAGTCCATATAAAAGCACATTGCCAGGTGAATTTTACTGAAAGACGTTAATTAACGGCACAAAATATGTAAATTTTCAGTTCTCAAAGAACTCTCAAGCTATAGATGTTACCAAAATTTGGCAGCCATTTTTTCGCTCATTTTACCTCTGAGACCAGGCTACTCCTACCTCCTTCAATGGTAAAGATCTTGACATCTATTCAAGACACATGGGTAACTTTTTCACAGAAATCAAGGCAAATGAATAAATTTTCAGATAATACCAATAACTCCACATGCTCAAAGACTGAGGAGCGCCTGATCCCACCACTTTGAGACATATATAATATCAAGAAATGATCAGTACCCGGTTGTGAATTTTCAAAAAGGCAACAGGCAGGATAATCTCACATTCAAATAGAACTTTACATCTTCAGTCAAAGACTTCCCCATTCTTTTTCTTTTCATTTTATACAAATCATTTTAGCAACACAAAATGTGATTAACACATGACTGTTATTCCAATATCTTCTCTGCTGTTGTGCTCAAGCATTCATTCCACACACCCAGCTTTTGGATGAACGAGGAATAAAACAAACATTTAAAAAAATCATCTGTTGATCAAGAGAAGGAAATCGACTCTAAATCCTCAAAATTTGAGAACATGACTTTTTTCACAGAAATCAAATGAAACGGTGTATTCCTGATGAAATGATACCATCTTTCTATAACAGTTCTTTACACAAATGATTCTTTTTTTATATCCCCCACCCCCCCTCCCCAAACCAAAGAGTATAAATCACTGTGACAATACCATTCACTTTTCAGAAAATTGAATTCTTACAAATTTCTTCAAGTGGGAGAATGAAAAATGACACAGATGATCAGGATTTTCTCCACTTTCTACTTTCATACATCAAACTTTTTCCCCTTCCAATCATATATTCATTTTTTTTAAACGAATTATGTAACATGGTAAAGTTGTTCCCGCATCCGACCCGGACAATGGGGATTGCCTTGTTAGTGAGACAACTTCCTGGGCCTTCGGCATTGTGGTAGGGTGGCCAGTTCCTTTCCACGCCGCCTTTACTTCCCCAACTCGAAGTCAGGTACCCATTATACTGCTGGGTGAGCAGGAGGGGGCGAAAAAAATACGCATCCGAACCGAGGCTAAAACCCGGACTTTCCTCTTTGGAGACGAGCGCACTAACCACTCCGCCACCGCACCCTCAATCTAGTTTATTTTAGTAAGAGTTTTACGGCACTTGCAACACAATAAGGTCATATAAGTGTCAAAGATTAGAGGTGTTACAAGAGAGTAACAAACACAAAAAAGAAGGAGGAGAGACCAGGAGAGATCAGGATGATAGACGTTTGCAAGGAAAGAAGGAACAAACCACACCAGAGCACCCGCCAACCACCCATCACCGTCAATCTAACATGGTAACATTTTAAAAAATACCAAACAAAATATAAAAGCTTAATTGGTCGGTTTCCTCACCTGAGCGACGTAGGCCATGTCGGAGATGAGGGAAAAGGAGTCGACGCTGGCCCTGGACACGTACGACTGCAGCAGGATGTTGACCTTGCCGTGAGTGTTCTCCTTCCCCCCCTTGACCATCATCTCACAGCCGTCGCTGGTCAGCCGGTCAAGCTCATCCATCTCGTCGTCACGCACCTATGGGGGAGGGGAAAGGGCGTTTAAAATATGACGGTGAATGCTTCGGCCGTTTTTGCTTGATGATTTATGATAACCTGGACAGCTGGGGTAATCAATAATAGTTGTAAAGCACATAGAGTATGTTGTAGAGTGAAAATATGCACTATATAAATGCAGCTATTTTTAGTATTATTATTACTATTATTATTATTAATAAGATTATTATTATTACCATTATGACTATTGTTATTATCATGATTATTATAATTGTTATGATCACTATGATGATGATGATTATTATATTATTATTATTATTATTATAACTTTTTAAACAAATAAAGAACAAGAGCTAGGTCGAACAGTATTTAAACCAAACAGAGGTTCGAACTGCCTCTCAGAAAGCAACCCCCATACAGCAAGTGACCCTGTACACACAGTAAGCGAACCCCCACAGTGACCCACACACACACACTAAGTGAACCCCCACAGTGACCCACACGGACACTAAGCGACCCCACACACACAGTAAATGATCCCACACAGTAGGTGAGCCCCACACAGTAACCCCCACACAGTAAGTGAGCTCCACAGTGACCCCACACAGTAATCCCACACACACACACTAAGAGACGCCACACAGACAATAAGGGACCCCACACACATATTAAGTGACCCCCCACCTTAATCTGCTGGAACTCCTGAGCGTTGGACACCAGGTTGAGGATATCGCCCTCCGTCATGGCCGCACGCAGCATCTCGTTGATCACCTGATGAAGAAGGAAAAAAATGATATGATATCAATTTTATTTTTCTCAAACCTACGAAGCAACATCTGTAATGACCCGAAATTACTTGTAGTCAGTGTAAATAATTAATACTATGTTCTGCTTAAGGAGATTTAGTTTTATTTTTAGTAAGGTTTTACGGTGCTCGCAACTGCATAAGGTCATATGAGCACCAAGGGGTGGATGTCAACAGAGAAGTCCAAACGGGGAATCAGGCTTACTCTGCTCACTTCTCTAGCCTCAACAGCACAAAGTCTACTTCGACTATCGAGGCACCCCAGAAATAGCGGGTCACAAGAGAGAAAAAACATACAAAAGAAGTAGAGGAAAAATGAGGATAGTAAAGGATGAGGAAAGAAAAAGCAGCAGTTCCCCCTAGGCCCTATGTTGTTCTGGCACAGTATGAGCATGACATTGATGAATCGGCCCATTTACAATTCTACTGAGCATAAGAACATGTATATCCCCCCCTTTGGGAATGGCTTAAAGACACTTCAGTCAGTAGCACTGCCCCGGGAGGGAACTTGTAGTCAGTGTAAATAATTAATTCTATGTTCTGCTTAAGGAAGAGGAGAGAGGATGTTCACTCGTAAAAAAATATTTGAAATGCTCATAACAAACGGAAGAACCCCAAGGGAAAAAAAGGAGACACTTGTATCTATTTCCTATTTTACAGACCAAGTTCCATTCTCAAACACTGACGTTCCTATTTCGTATTACCAGCCAATACAAACAGTTTTCTTTAGAAATTTGTGTGAATTAAAATATCTTCTTTATTTGTGCAAGGACAGAAGAATGCAGTGTGTGTGTGTGCGTGTGTGTGTGTGTGTGTGTGTGTGTGTATGTGTGTGTGTGTGTGTGTGTGTGGGGGGGCGTGCATATGTGTGTGTGTGCGTGTGTGTGTATGCATGCGTGCCTGTGTGCCTGTGTGCACGTGTGTGTATGCATGCGTGCCTGCGTGCGTGCATGTGAATCTGGCCAAAAAAACTAAAACAGCGGGTTTTCTAGAAAATGCAATCGAATATTAAAATAAGGGGGAAAAAAACCCCAGATGCTTTCAGCTCTTTTTGGAGAAGAAGACACAAGATTTTGACCGCTCAACCTGGACAACTGACCTCCACCGTGTCGTACTTGATGTAGAAGTTGCTGGCAATGCGACCCATATCCGTGGAGAACATGTATCCGGTGTGCTCCTCAAAGCGGATCATCTTGGCCTTGTCCAGTCTCCGGGCCGCCTCAAACACCAGGGCCGTCCTGTGACCTTCCAGCTGGGGGTCTTCCTTCATTATGATAAAGGAGAAGAAAAAAAACGAATACAGAAAGAGAGAAAGAAAGAAAAAAAGAGAAAGACAGAGAAAGAAAGAAAAAGAAAGGAAAAGAGAAAGAAACAAAGACAGAGCTAAGAAAGAAAGAAGCAAACAAACAAACAAAGAATGAACTAAGAAAGAAAGACAAATAAGAAAGAAAAAAAGAAAGAAAGAAAGAAAGAATGGAAAAAGTAAGGAAGACAGAAGACAAAGAGAAAGAATGTTTAAGCATCTTTTCATACAGAAGAAAGACCAAATCAACAAACTTCCACAAACAAACAACCAAACACACTTAGCCTTGCCCCAGTGGGGTAGTACCCTGCTTCTTAACTCAGGCTTTATCTTTTATCTCGTTTTGCTATTGGACATATTGCTACCTTAGAATTATAAAGTTCCATCTGACTTTATTGGCCATTTTGAGTAACAAAGACCATGAGGTCAGAAATCAAATGTTCTATCTGCTCTATCAAAATCGTAAGATTATTCGGAATTGAATCGATATCAAGATATTCAAAGAACTGCATTTAAAAAAGATTGACATATTGTTAAACTCAAAATTCTAAATGTCAAATTTAATATATAGATGACCACCCATCTCAAAGTTACAGCACCAAAGTCGCTTGACATTTCTAAACCTGTGCCAACTTACCACAGAGACTACCAAAAAAAAAACAGGTCGATTTTTAAAAACATTTTTTATAGCGCTGCTGCAAAATGCATAATGCACCTAGCTATACATTTCCAAAGCTCATCCGCAATATTCCATTTCACTACAAGTATTAACAGAGAGAGTTGGAACTCAGAATCTGGTCTGAATTCTTCATCTTCCTCAAGAAACTGAAATATTGATCATAAATCTCTTTTGTCAAAGATGCCTAAAAACTATGACTTAAAAAGCAGAACACGTTTGATTGAGCAAGTCTCACCTCTCTGAAGGAGTTGGGAACGCCGTAGACCAGTGGGTTTTTCCTCATGCGGACGTGGAGGTAGGTGTAGCTCATCCACTTCACCGCCTCCTCCACGTTGGTCACTGTGCCCAGAGAAATCTGGAGAGAAACGTTTTGTAAACTCTTCAGATTTTAAAATCAGAAGTCTTTTCCATTTATTCAGCTAGTTAAACATGCTTCTAGTTTAATAAGGCCACAAAAGATAATCACTTCTTATCTAAAAAAAATTTCAGTAATTCTTCAGCCAAACACATTGACGCACACAACTACAAACCTACTTAATAATAACAATAATAATAATATAATAAAAATAATATTGGACAGCATTTGTACAGTGCAAATTCCCGCTCAACAGCAAGCTCTATGCGCTTCATAATCTATACTATTACCCCAAGTAGACCTGAGAGCATTCTGAAACAATCTTAACTTCCTGGGAGGCCTACAGTGAAAATGACAAGGTCATATTTATAGTCCTTACTAAAATGTAATTCTTAAAGCTGAACTGATGCCTTGTTAAGTCAACAGGGTGTTGTTTGACAATTTCCTGCTTAATTCTTGTCCTGATAACCTTTTCATTTTTTAAATAACATCAACAACAACAACAATAACAGCAGCAGCAACAACAACAGCAACAACACACGACACAGAGCACAGACCTCGGCATTGAGGTTGTCGGTGATACTGTTGATGAACTGACTCTCGATGGGGTTATGCCACATCATACAACAACAACAACAGCAACAACAGGGAGGCGGTGGCCCTGGCGAAGAGCACACTCTTCGGGGCTCCGAACATTTCGAACGGATAGGCTACCACACACACACACACAGCAACAACAACAACACATGATATTGTACACAAACCTCGGCATTGAGGTTGTCGGTGAGACTGTTGATGAACTGACTCTCGATGGGGTTCTGCCGGGTCATCAGGCTGAGATAGTGGCTCAGTTTGTCATGGGTGGTCAAGATGGTCCCGTGGCCAAACTTGTCGAACTGCGGCCGACCGGCACGGCCAAAGATCTGCATCACGTCCAAGATGCCCAGGTCCACAAACTGACCCCTTTTGGCGTCGTAGATTTGTGTGCCCTGTAGAAGAAGTAAAAAAGCTTCCAAGATTACTATCAATTTTTACTGAGGATATTTGTTGTGGGGAGGGGGTTGCTGCCTGACGGTGGCAGACACTGACTAATTGATAGCTTAAGCAGACCACTCAAAACCAATCCCCGCATAAGGTAGCAGAAGAAAAGCACAATTAAAATGGAAACATAAAGGCTGCATAAAAGAAAATTGGCAAATACTCCGACACAAAGAATAGGCACAAATCCTATATATTTATCACATGATTGGAACACTGGGAATTTGAACTCAGACTATCATGACAAAAAATTAAAAACCTGAACCCGGGACTAATAAATTGTGGGAGAGCCCATCTATGAAATAACAGCAAACAGTTTCTTTCCTTTTTTTGTGTGTGTTGACAGTCACAGGCCTTTCACCTTGATTACCAGCTTGTGGTGTAATAGTTAGGCTCTTCCCCACTGAAGGCAGAAGACAAGAGATCCATTATCACGCAAAGAACTTAATTGAGACATGTGTATACTAATGGCCTGTCTTGTTGTGCGTATGCGTGAGTGCACCTAACCCTTGTAACATCTACTGGCATTGTAAATGACTAGGACAAATTTCTCCCTGCAAGACGAATAAAGATTGTCACTATCATTTTCATTGTCAGCTTTATTCTATAGAGTAACTGTATTTTTCAGGTGGGAAGCTGTATCGTACTCAGCGAGGGTTGGCCCTGACATACAAGGTCAAAGCAGCCTGCCCCACCCTCTTAAATGATCTCAATGACGTCTGTGAAGACAGTAAACATTTACAATCAGTCGTAGTTAGTGATCCAGCAGCATCTGAACGTTAACTCTTCTGCATGATGCCATTCTGTAATAGCTGCATGTCTGTTCTAATTGTTGTCTTGAGGAGTAGAGCCAGTCAGATGTATGGGGTAGCTGGGGAAGATCGGTTAACACTATCCGTACCCTCTGGGATCATTTTGTACCCCCGGGGTTGTATGTACACAATCTCATAGATAGAATCGCCAGATGTATCAATGATATAAGAAAATGGATGTTCAAGAACAAATTAAAATTAAATGAGGATAAGACCGAAATATTATTTCTTCATAGCAGCGCATGCAATGAAATCGACAATATCAGAATAAACATCAATGGCCACGAAATATCAGCCCAAACTAAAATAAGAAATTTAGGTGTGGTGCTAGATCAAGATATGTCAATGAAATACCATGTATCCAATCTTTGTAAAAATCTATATCTCCAGCTGAAGAAAATAGGGAGCATTAGAAAATATCTATCTGTTGGTGTCACCAAAACTTTAATAACATCACTTATATTGTCAAGGATTGATTATTGCAATTCCTTACTGGCTGGTGTACCTGATGAACTCTTCTGCATGATGCCATTCTGTAATAGCTGCATGTCTGTTCTAATTACAACAACTACAAAGAGTACAAAATATTGCTGCCAAAATAATTACTAAAAAACTAAAGCAAGATCATGTGACTCCTATTTTAAAAGCATTACACTGGCTCCCAGTGAAAGAGCGTATCATATATAAAATCTGTTTAACTTGCTACAAGTGCTTAAATGATTTATCACCGGACTATCTAAAACAGCTTTTAACACCCTATGTGCCTCCTAGAACGCTCAGATCATCTAGTGACAAAACAACCCTTGTTAAGCCTAAAATAAATTTCAAATCATATGGCCAACGCTCTTTTTCATATTTTGCCCCACTTGTTTGGAATAGGCTTCCAAAAACTATCAGAGAAGCAGAAAATCTAGAAATTTTTAAGAAGAAACTAAAATCATTTCTATTTTCATCATATTTCGATTAGACAGAATGCATCCAAGCTGTAGATCGTTGTGAGTTTGTATGTGCGTATGTGCATATGTATGTATGTGAGTATGTATATGTGTGTGGTGCGTGCGTGAGTGAATATGTGTTTGCATGAGTATGTAACACTATGTATCTTTAAAATTGATTTGTAAATCCATTATATGTATCATGTTAAGCGCATAGAGCATTGCATAAGTGGATATGCGCTATATAAATGCAATCCATTATTATTATTATTATTATTCACATTTTACAATACTTCTAGTATGAAGATCTCTTTGAAACTTTCAGTATTTCTCAAAAAATCATTTTGACAGACTGCAATGCAAAGCGTACAGATCGGATTAACAAGAAAATTTCCTCTCTGGAAAATGGTGGCACAGAGTTTCCCATGTCGTATGGATACAATAGTAAAACAAGACGTACGGATAGGGTTAAGTGGTGGCACAGAGTTCCCCACGTCGTATGGATACGACAGTAAAACAAGACGTACGGATAGGGTTAAGTGATGGTACAGAGTTCCCCATGTCATATGGATACGATAGTAAAACACGATGTACAGATAGGGTTAAGTGGTGGCACAGAGTTCCCCACGTTGTATGGATACGATAGTAAAACACGACGTACGGATAGGATTAACAATCAAGTCTGTTAGAATCACCTTGATGATGACCGCGTGGGCGGGCAGGTTCACTCCCCAGGCCAGCGTGGCGGTACACACAAGCACCTTGACGTGACCCTCGGCGAAGTAACGCTCCACCAGGTTCCTGTCTTGTCGCAGCATCCCCGCGTGGTGGATCCCGAACCCATCGGCAAACATCTCACGAAGCTGCTTGTTCCTGCTCCGAAGCACCTGTGGAGATACAGCGCATTGTGAAGAATAAGTTGCCATGGTGTCCAAAGTGTTTCACAAGAACTCGTAATCGTGAGGTTACGGGTTCTGGGGTTCCAGCCGCAGGCCCGACGTTGCGTCCTTGGGAAAGGCACTTTACACTAATTTTCCTCACTTCACCCAAGTGGGAATGGGTACCCGGCCATAGACAGCAAAAAATCTTGTCAGTATGTTAGTGTTTTATCACTTATGAATGGCTGCTTGCACTGTATGCTAAGGTTGTTTCAGAATGCTCTCAGGTCTGCTGGGGTAATAGTATAGATTATGAAGCGCATAGAGCGTACTGTTGAGCAGGGACCTGCGCTATACAAATGCTATCTATTATCTATTATTATAAACTCACAGTTTTCTGAGCATCTCCGAATCCCCGGTTCTGCTCTGGTGAGAAGAGGGTGATCTCCCCTTTGTTCCTGGCCAGCTCTATCAGGTTGAAGGCGGTGCGCACCGTCTCGTTCCGGGCATGAACAAACACCATCACCTGAGGAGGAAACAAATTGCCATGATGACCGTACCGTGTCTACCAACCTACAGAGTTTACACATGTGACGCATCGTGGTGAAATCAGGCGCTGGTCAGAAAAATGAAATCGGAGAAATTGGCATTTTTTCCCCCAAATTGGGCATTTTTATCGAATTTGTACTTTTGGATTAACCTCTTTTACGTCTACATAAAAACACATTTCCAGGTGAATTTTACTGAAAAATATAGATTAAAGGCAAGAAATATATAAATTTTGAGTTTTCAAGGATCTCAAGCTATAGAAGTTGCCAAACTTTGGCAGCCATTTTCTCGCTAATTTTACCTCAGAAAACATTTTACCCCACCTCTTTCAATCTGAAATATCTCGACTTCTATTCAAGATAGAAGAGTAAAATTTTCACAGAAAGAAGGACAAATCAACAAGCTTTAAGATTAAACCGTTAACTCCATATGCCCAAAAATTGACGAGAGCCTGATTCCACTGCGTCATGACACATATGGTCGCTTTTTAGGACAAGCGGACTAACCCAGATTTCGGGGGTTTCCAGAAATCTTGACCTACACCAAAAGTGGGCATTGCCCTACCTATAGGAGAAGCTTGGTTTCATTGGTGTGTATATTTGTTTGGTTATAGAGAAAACTCTCCTTGTCTTTTAAAGAATCTGAACAACTGGCAAAAACTTTACCTTCGATTTTCTCAAAACAGCATTTTTCGGGACAGCCCCCTTGTGCTTAAAAGCCATCATATTATAATAAGAAGGATGATATTATGAAATCTAGTCATGAAATATGAATGCTTCCTCCTTTAAATTTCTAGGCTCTGAATTTACCAGATTTACATAAAAAGAAAGAAATCTGCACATAACCCTGACCAAAGGAATAGAATGAACATGTAAACAGAGCATTTTAATATTTGTTCTAACATTTCTGGATATATTGAGGGAAAGACTGTATCGTAAGTACATCATAATCCGTTTGGTCTCACCTGATATCCTGCCCTCACTTGCTTGCTCACTTTCTCGTAGCACACCATGTTGAAGTCTCTGATCTGATTCATCTTGTTCACAGCTTTGATGCCTGGGGAAATGATCGATTGTACAGATTGTAAACATTTTACGCTCCCATCGACATGATTTAGACAGTTTTTTGAGTGTTTAAGTAGAGGTTTTACTGCGCTCGCAACTGCATAAGGTCAAATTAGCGCCAGAAGATTTAGAGGTGTTACAAGAGAGTAACAAACATAAAAAAGAAGAAGGGGAGACAAGGACGATAGACGTTTGATAGGAAAGAAACAGCAAACCAAACCAGAGCAACCACAAACCACCCACTTAGACAGTTTAAGAGTCAGGCTGCTTCAGCTACGCCTGTCAGGTTCAGCCCTGGTGGAGAGGGATACAGTACCCCAGCACAATGACAGGTATACTTGACAAAATAATTTCCCTGTTCAGGAATTGAACTCATGTCTTACATCATCATAATCATCAAAGCCTTTCTTACCCTGCATCAAGAGTGTGGTGCGTGGTGTGGTGTGGTGTGGTGAGGTAGGGTGGGGTGTGGTGTGGGGCGGTAGGGTAGGGTAGGGAGAGTCAGGCATACTATGGCATGAGCAAACACTTTCCACCTTTCCCTTTCCCGGGCTAGCCTCTTAAGGTTATTCCATGTCTTCCCAGTTTTCTGTGTATCTATCTCTGTGACTCTTCTCCAGGTTCCACTTGTCATTCCCAATAGTCTGCAGCAACAAGTATGGCAAATCCTTCACCAAGGACATTTTGGAATGCAACGAATGAAACAGCTCGCACGAACTGCAGTATACTGGCCTGGAATAGACTCCAATATCATGGATCTGTGTCGCATAAGTGTCAAACATGCAATGAGCATCAAAACAACCCTTCGAAGGCACCAATTCATCCTTGGATGTTACCGGAGAAACCATGGAGTCGGGTGCACATAGATCATGCAGTACATTTCATGGGACACAACTGGTTGGTACCGATCGATTCTTACTCTAAGTATCCAATCATTCATCGAACATCGTCAACTTCCTGTTTACATCACCCCAGGAAAAACACGACTTTGTCATGTCTGTATCTTCGTGATTTCTTATGTGGTAAGCCTTATTTAATCAAAACCCAAAAGCACAACAGTAGGGCAGAGTCAGGTTTAGTATGGTATGGAATGATATTGTATAGCAAGAGCAAACACTTTCCACCTTTCCCTATCCCGGACTAGCCTCTTAATGTTATTCCATGTCTTCCCAGTTTTCTGTGTATCTATCTCTGTGACTCTTCTCCAGGTTCCACAAGGTCTTCTCATGTCTTACACACAATGGTAAATAATCTTGTCTCTTCCTTAGCTCTCTATCGTTTTTTATCTGTCATTCCGACTTTTCCCGAAACTAAATGTGGTTAGGCTACCGGACTCGTAATCGTGAGGCCCAACATTGTGTCCTTGGGCAAGGCACTTTACACAAATTTTCCTCACTTCATCCAGGTAGGAATGGGTACCAGGCCATAGACAGCAAAAGATCTTGTCAGTATGTTAGTGTTTTAGCGCCTATAAATGGCTGGTTGAACTGTAAGCTTCCCAGTAAGTTGAGGTTGTTTCAGAATGCTCTCAGGTTTGCTGGGGTAATAGAATAGATTGTGAAGCGCATAGAGCTTGCTGTTGAGCGGGAATTTGCGCTATACAAATGCTATCTATTATCATTATTAAAATGAGGGTTACCAGGTGACTCTTTCCTCTAGAAGTCAAAGACAAAAGAACAAAAGTTACCGATAAAGGTCTGCTCCAGAGGCACGGGCCTGAAGCGTCCGTCAAAGAAGAAGAGGCCGGTGTAGGGGTTCACGTTGAGGAACATGGCCACGTCCAGGTAGTTGGGAAGTGTGGCGGAGAGGCCAACGATACGGATCATGCTCTGAGTACTCTCCACCTGTGTGAGTAAAAGGAAACAAGTAAATATATATTGGTGTGGTGTGGTGTGGTGTGGAGTGGTGTGGTGTGGTGTGGTGGGGAGTGGTGTGGTGGGTTGTGGTGGGGTGTGGTGAGGTGTGGGGTGGTGGGGTGTGCGGTGGTGGTGTGTGGTGGGGTGTGGTGGGGTGTGGGGTGGTGGGGTGTGCTTTGTTGTGGTTTTGTGTGGTGCGATGTGGTGTGGGGTGTGGTGTGGTGTGGCAGGGTGGAGTGCAGTTTGGTTTGGTGTGGTGTGGTGTGAGGGTGTGGTATGGTATGGTAAGGTATGGTATGGTATGGTATGGTATGGTATGGTATGGTATGGTATGGTATGGTATGGCATGGTATGGTATGGTATGGTATGGTGTGGTATGGTGTGGTATGGTATGGTATGGTATGGAATGGATTTGTATTGTATGGTGGAGTACAGTACAGTATGGTACGGTATGGTACAATACAATGTGGTTCTGTAAAGTATATGGTATTCAGCTAATGTCACTTTCAACACAAAGGTGGGGTCAACATTCACAGTATCCATCCACAGCAGGACTGAGCAAGTATCAGAGCACCATAAAAACTCGTAATCATTTTTTTTCAAAATTTAGTGCATGGGTGTTGAGTGTGTGTGTGTGTGTGTGTGTGTGTGTGTTTGTGTGTATGTGCACATGTGTGCTTGTATGTAATGTGTATGTATATGATATGTATGCGATGTCCACATTACACTCACACAATTTACACCTACATAAATATAACAATTCTCTTTATTTATTGGGGGCTCCAGTGGCTAAGTGAGCAGTGAGTTCAGACTCAGGTAAAGTCAAGCAAATGTCGGTGACACGCAGTTTAGATGGGTGGTCACTCGGGTGTGTCCTGGAGCAAGACACAACAATCCTAGCTCAAAATACAGGGCGCTGCACAGTGGCGATTGGCAATGGCATGGTTGTAAATTGTTCGGTACTGGTGTAATATTGCGTATTTATGTATGTATTTGAGCATGTATTTAATTTATGTATGTATGTATTCATATGTATTTATGTATGTATATATGTGTGTGTATGTATGTATGTTTGCCATTGTAAACCAAATTGTCCTTCTGGATAAATAAAAGTGTAATTTATTATTTTATTTTTATTTAATTTTCATAAAATTTCACAGCAATATCCCACACACAGACACAAAATATCCACAAAATATCCACAACATATCCCGACCTGTCTCTTGGTTCGAGCCACGAGAGTCTCGATGACCGGACCTCGGTCGTCGTGCAGCAGGTGAACCTCGTCAATGATGAGCAGACGCACCAGCTGAGCCAGGGCTACATCCCCGGTGCTCTTACGGGTCACAACGTCCCACTTCTCCGGGGTCGTCACGAGCATCTGAGGTGAGACAAGATGAGATGAGATGGAATGAAATGATTATTATTATTATTATTGTTATTATATAATGATAATGAAATAACATTAATAAAGAGAAGAAGGAGAAGAGGAGGAGGAGGAGGAGGAGGAGGAAGAGGAGGAGGAGGAGGAGGAGAAGAAAAAATAATATCATTTGTATAGCGCAACATCCTGCTCAACAGCAAGCTCTGCGTACTTTATAATCTATATTATAAAAGATAGATGCCAACCCCACTGACGCTACAAAAGAAGCTATACGTGCCGACAGATGAACTGAGCAGGACGGCCCAATTTATGACAGATACCAGACTTCAAGTGTGATGCATGCCATCGAGAATAAGAATAAGAATAAAAGATAGATGAGATGAGAGATAAACGAAACAGATGAGATGAGATGGGTGAAATAGATGATATGAGATAAATGAAATAGATGAGATGAGATGAGTTAAATGAAATGGTTGAAATGAGATAGATGAGATCTCACATAGATAAAACAACACCTGAGCTTAAATCCTACATTACCGAGGAGAAAAACCTTTAGACCACAAACCTGAGTTTTGAGGATCTCTTGCTTGCTGAGGCTCATGTCTCCCGTCAGTTCACGAACCGAGATACCCAGAGGTTCCAGGCGACCCCCGAAGTTCCGAACCATCTCAGCAGCCAGAGCCTTCATGGGAGCTACGTACACAATCTGACAGACACACACAAAAAAAGGTCAACCAAAGAATTTGAAACGCATCCCCCCACCTCTAAGTTTTAGTAAGAGTTTTACAGCACTTGCAAAACAATAAAGTCATATAGGTGCCGAAGATTAGAGGTGTTACCTCTAAAAAAAGGAAATCACTAACAAGTAAACTATAGACAAAACTAGGATGAATAATTTACTTAAAATTGACATTGACAAAGCAGCCAGTGTTTTAATAAAACAACAAAAGACAAGTTTTGGACCCAGAGCCTTCAGAGCAGCTTCTACTTATGACTATCTGGAGACACAGATAAAAAGTAAATCAGAGAATTTGTTACATATCTCTCACTTGGTGGGGAAATTTTTAAAAATTCTAACATAATCAGAAACATCTCGAACATCCACAAAAATGTGTTTCTTAAATTGTGGACTTGCAATTTACATTGAGGTAGGAGCAAATATTACAAAACAGAAAAGACAATTTTGGACCAAGGGATACAGATAAAGATTCCATCAACAATCATATTGAACCACCCGCAGAGGCAAAATGTCCGACAAGTTATTATATTTCAAAATTGAGAACTCTGTATTTCTATAATCTGCATGGTCCAACAAACATGTGAAAATCTGGAGCAGACTGGTAGTAAAGGTTGTTTCAAAGTAAGTCAATCGTAAAATGAAGCACAAAAAAAGCCAAAATGCAGCTTTGAGAAATGATAGACAAGACTGGAAACAGCAACTCAAAAAACATAAACATTTACCAAATACAAAACCACCCAAATAGAAAGCCCTTGCCTGAGTGTGGGCCAAGAATTTGACACAAGACGAACAAATCAAAGTACAAAAAAAGCCAAAGTGCTGCTTTAAGAAAAGATATACAAGACTGGAAAACAGCAACTCAAAAAACATTAACATTAAAATGCATCAAAGATTAACCCACCCAAAACGAAAGCCTAGGTGTGTGTGTGAGGATCAAGAATTCTACACAAAGCGAAAAAATCAAAGTAGGCTACAAAAAAAAAGCCGAAATGCTGCTTTGAGAAATGATTATATACAAGACTGGAAAACAGCAACTCAAAAAAGCATTAAAATATATCAAAGATTCCCCCCCTCCCCCCAAAAAAAACAATCAAAGCCCATATTTGTGTGTGAGGGCCAAGAATTTTCCACAAACCTTAAACTCGTCCTTTTTGATGACTCCTTGCGACATGTGCTGGCGTAACTGGTGCAGGATGGTCAACATTGCCACATTGGTCTTGCCAGCGCCGGTGGGCGCACAGATCAGCAGGTTCTCGTTTGTCTTGTAGGCCGAGTCGAACACCACCGATTGGATGCGGTTGAGGGCAGTCGTGTTCTTGAAAGCCAGTTGTCCGATCTGATCGTTGTGGACATGGACAGACAACGAGAAAGTCACATGTGTTACCGGTACCATATTATTGGTATAGTTTTAGTAAGTAAGAGTTTTACGGCACTTGCAACACAATAAAGTCATATGAGTGCTGAAGATTAGAGGTGTTACAAAGGAGTAACAAACACAAAAAAGGACGAGAGATCAGGACGATAGATCTTGGTAGGAAAGAAGGAGCAAACCACACCAGAGCACCCGCCAACCACCCACACAGACAACAATAAAGTCACATGTGTTACCAGTACCATATTATCGATTTAGTTTTAGTAAGAGTTTTACAGCACTTGCAACACAATAAGGCCATATAAGTGCCGAAGATTATAGTTATAGGTGTTTCAAGGGAGTAACAAACACTTAAAAGAAGGAGGAGAGATCAGGACGATAGATGTTTGATAGGAAAGAAGGAGCATACTACACCAGAGCACCCGCCAACCACCCACATATCATCGGTGCAGTGAGTCAGCTGCATTGGATGAGACTACAAAACAAATTGGTGTGCAGATACTAATACAAAAAAGAAAAAAAAACCCAGCAACTGTTCTAGTCTATACTCTTTACACTTCAAACTTTTGATTTATAATTACTAAATAGTAGATCTTGCATTGTCTACCCTTGATATTGTCAATTATAAGTCACACACACACATTAAAACACACACACACACACACACACACACACACACACA